TATTTTATTTTATTTTATTTTATTTTATTTATTTTATTTTATTTTATTTTATTTTATTTTATTTTATTTTATTTTATCTGGTGTTTATTTTGCGTGGGTAGGTTAAGATTGTGAAAATTCATTGAGCTGTACACTTATGATATGTGTGTTTTTCCCCATATGTGTATCATACTTCATTAAAAAAGCAAAACAAAGATAAAAACAAAAAACAAGAACAAAAAAGAAAGAAAAGAATAGAATAGGAAGCATATGAAAAGAAAAAGAAAGGAAGGAAAGAACAAGCCCAGAAAGAAGGTTAAAGGCAGGGACTCTTGCTTGGCTCCAGCTGCACCTGACTTGGCTGGCTCACCCCTCTAACTTACAAGCCACCACTGCCAGTCTGGTCTTCCCCCCAACTCCTGCCCCGCTCCGCCCCACTCTATTTGTCCAGCAGAGGATGGCAAAGGCCTGTTTTGGGGGTCCTTTCCTTCCCTCTCCCACTCCCTCACTGAACATTGCTTAGGCAGTAAGGGGCTTTCCAACTGGGTAACGCCGATAGTAAACCTGGAGCAGGTAAGGCTTCATGATTGAAACTGAAGATTTAAAGGCATCTCCTCTTTTCTACTACCTCTACCTCCACCTCTACCTCCACCTCTACCTCCACCTCTACCTCTCGCTCTTCCACTTCCTCTTCCTCTTCTCTCAGGCTCCTTCTCCCTCTCCTCTTTCGTTCCCCAAGACATCCTCTGGTCCTTGGTGGCGGTGTGGGACCAGCTGGGTCCGCGCCTCGCGCCCCGTGGGGTGGCTTGGCTGGGGCAGGGCCAGGGCTGAGGCCCCGCTGGCTCGCGGGTGCCCCTCCCGCCCTGCCCGGGTTGACCCCGCCCCGCAGCCGCCAGCTATTTTGGGCGAGTTGGCTGCGACGGCAGGATCGCTGACAGGCGCGGATCCTGTGACACCTCCCTGCAGCCCAGCACTTGTTGCTCCCAGGACCTGCTACCATCCCTGAAGGCACCTTTCCCCTTTGCCCCCTGTCCCTTCCTGGCTTCTCTCCTTTTCATGTGATCACCCGGGACACTGATCTCTCAGACATCGCTGTCCCCGGCTTCAGAAATAGATTAGGGAGGGGAAAAAAAGAGAAAAGAAAAACGAAAAAAGACGCCGCTCTGAAAAGAGGCCCCCTGGGCAGGAGCAGGAACGCAGAGCGCTGGCCCCGGCGCCGCAGAGGTGGCGCCTCCCCGGCCCGGGACGGTGGCCCCGGGCACCGACGGCATGACGGACGCAGCGACAGCCAACGGGGACGACAGGGACCCTGAGATCGAACTCTTCGTGAAGGTAGGTCGGTGTCTCGGCTCCCGCCGCACCTGCCTCTCCTCCAGCAGGGCTCCCGGCGGCGTTGGCTCACGTGCCTGGGCGCGGGCCGCGCCAGGACGCTGGACTGTCCCCAGGGAGGGCAGCCCAGCCCTTGCCGTCCCCTGGGTGGCCTTCTGCAAGGCAGAGCCTGGCTTCAGGGTTCTCGGGCGAAATGGAGTCAGGTGCAATCTCGCAAGTGGCTGTCTTCTTGGAGAGTTCGCGGTTTGTCAAAGCTGCCGCAGGACAGGCGGTCACCGCTGCGGGTCCAGAGCCCTGCCCTGAGCGATGTTGGCTTTTCCTAAAGGGCATCTCCAGGTGTAGGGAGATGGCAGGAACCTGGCTGGACCTGTAAACCTTTCCTCTAAAACGAGGGTGAGGAGGAGGATAAAAGGAAGCATTACTGATAGAATTACCCTAAGAAAAGGGAAAAAATCACGTCTTAAAATTTCCCCTTTCTCTCTTAGAGCTAATGAAAGAAAGCAAAAGGAAACAAAGATGCTTTCTTGCTTTCTGACCTGAAAAGCAGAAAACAAACATTCCATTTGCCAACATTGTTGTTATTGTCGTAATCATGATGCTGCAGGGTGATATCAGGAAATGCTGAGGGGCTGGCAATTCGGACAACGTCCCGGTCAACCTGAGCAGACTGGGATGAAGGCACAGAGTGAAAAAAATTAAATTAAGTCGCCTTGCTCCCGGGACAGACACGATCTAACGTCAAAGCCGCTTGCTTCCTTTGCAACCTGTAGGAGGAAGGATGGAGGCCGAGGCAGTGCTTTCCCGGTCGGCTGGTGTAATAAGAAAGAAACATTTGATCAGTCCTCTGTGCCGACACCGCAGAAGCTTGGAAACCTGAGGCGGCAGGCGAGCTGCCTCCAGGGCGGCGCAGAAAGAGTCTCCAGGACTTGGGGGAGGGGCCGTTGGCCGGCTGCCTGAGAGCGGAGACCTTTCACAAAGGGGAAAAAAAACCTTAGAATGCAAAGTTTCCCTAGAAATATGCAGATCACTAAGAAGAGAAGAGTCCTTGGTGCCTACCCAAGGGCCTCCTGATGGAATTTAAAAGGCACATGTATTCCCTGAAATAGGGGAAATGATATGTCCCAGTTGGCTCAGCCTACCAGAAAAGTTTGTTAAATTTCTTTGGCTGGGTTTTATGTTCTTTAAAAAAAAAATTATCTGTAGAATTAAAGTGTCATTTAATGACACTTACTTTCCTTAGCCTGTTTCTTTCCCCTCAAATATGGTTTCTGTCACCCTCATTTGGTTTCTGCGACCCCATCTGGGCAGGATTTCCAAGCCTTCTGGGTGACCCAGGTATTGAAAGGGGTCACGTCCCTTCGGAGGCCGGGCAGTGTGGGCAGCACAGTGATGTCCTGCACTTCAGGGTCCAGGCCTGCGGTGTAGGGAGTGAATAGAGAGGACTTTAACAAAGTAATGAGTCTTGCTGCTCTCCTTGAAGAAAGCTATTCTAGGACTTTCTCAGATTCCCTGGGAGGAGGTAGTTTCATAGTGTCAAGTTCCTGAAAGATATTTGAAACACAAATTGACTCTTTAGAGCCAAAGGAGCCCTTTGCCCCACTACTAGGCATGGAGACCAATTCTACCTGCACCTTTGGAATTTCATGTTGGCAGCTTTGGAGATTTTCTCCATTTATATAAAAAGCTCATTGCACAGCTCCCAGTGCCCCCAAAGAATTCTAAAATGCCTGTGTTTTCATTTGTTTCTTCCCTAAAGGAAAGCAATCCAAGAG